ACAAGATAGGGAGAGAGAGAGAGGAAAAAAAAGAAGGAAACGACAGTTGTATCATTCATTGTTCGCTTATATTTATGCAAGGTTAGTTATCTTATTCTTAAAAGAATTGAGCTTATGTCATCAACTAATAATACATATCATCATCTATTCGTTCAAACACAACTAAAAAGTATATTAAAAAAATCACCATCACCAAGATTTCTTGATTCATTAAATAATTTCGATGATAATCACTATTCTAATATTATTCTATCATCAACTTACGACACAGTCAAAAGTGTTATTGACGAGAGTGTAACCAATGATAATATATGTATGTTTAATAATAATCAATCTGTTGTGGATAATTCAAAGTTATCTTCTATTGAAACACCATTAATGAACTCGTCAATAGAATCAAATGAAAATTTATGTCAATATAAAATTGATACTCAATTGATAGGAACTATTCCACCTGATGATGCAATATCATCATCACCACATACATCTGATGATGAACAACAGCAACAACAACAACAACGACAACGTATTAGAACTAAATCAAAGAAAAATGATTTTAGACCATTTGTCATCAATCGTACAGTATCTTCATCGGCATCGTCATCTAGTGATAATGATGATGCAAGGAAAGCAAAACGATCTATGGAACAATCTAAAACGACGTCAATACATTCTGACAAATATCGACAAACTGATATGCAACTTGATGAATTCATGCGGAAGTATCAACAACAAGGAGGAATTCATATACCAATAATCAAAGAAAATCGTAATAAAGAACAAATGACATCAAAAGATCTAATAAATAATAATGAAAATAACGGTAATCAGTAAGTATAATTAGAAGATTTGAAGAAATTTTTTTTTTCTTTTAACTCTCTTTATTTAAGTTTTTCTTTAACGGAACAACAAAATTCTTATGTTGATAAGAGATTAATAAATGACGATACAATGAGTTTATTAGATTCAATTAATATAATAACTCTATCAAGAGAAATTGATTCACCATTACAATTATTATTTAATGTTGTTCGTACAAATCAATATGATCGTCGAACAAAAATCGATCATATTCGTCAATATATTGAAGAACAAATTGGTATAACAGCTTTTTTAACAATATATAAATTACTTAAATCATCACATATACCAATTGATATACAACAAAAACCATTTTGTTATTATGCAAATTTTATTCCTCATTTATGTTGTTTAATTATGCTTGAAAGTGAACAACAAAAAAATCGTTTATAACATAAGAGAAATTTTTTTTGTTAAGAGTAATAAATTAAATATAAAATAAATTCTTTAATCATATAAGGTTATTATTATGTTAAATAGAAATATGATTTTTTTGATTTTTTTTTGCTTATGAAAATAATAATAATAATAATCAGAATATTTTATTTTTGTTTTTTATTTTTATTTCGTTTGATAATCATATTTGAACATTGATTCGTTCTTATTCATATAAACTTTTGTAATAATCAGATATGAAATATGAAGATATATTTGAATAACAATAATAACAATAAGTAGGTAATGGTGTATAATTATATGTTGTTGTTGTTGGATAAAAATAAATTTGATTTTTTATTTTTGATGTTGATTCATTAGATTGAAATGATTGATATTGAAATTCTTTTATTTCATGTTGATGTTTTCGATAATGATGTCGTTTACGTTTAAATCTTGATGAATTATATTGTTTATGATAATGATAATGAAATAAATCATCGTCACCAAGTAATTCACCAATAGTTGGATTTAAATTTTTTTTTTCAATTAAATTTAGTTGATTTTTTTTAATATTGATTTGTTTTGATATTAAAAATTTTTTATTATATGGATATTTTTTATATAAAAATTTTAAACAAGATGGTAAACTTTTACTTTTATGTAATTCTGCAATTTCATTTGATTTTGATAAAAATCGAACATTCGGAAGAGATTTATAAGCTTTACATTTATTAGATATATTTTTTTCCATGAATAAATATTTTATTGTTAATACTATTCTGATGATATCTGTTGATAAATTATTATTTAATGACTATCCTATCAATAGTTAGCTAAGAAAAGAATGTTGGATTATATTCATTGTAAATAACATTTTTAATGATTATTGATTATTAAATTGAAAGAATTTAATAGTAATCAAGTTATTGTTTGTTGCTAATAATGCATAGTAACAAGTATAAGTCAATGAGAAAGAAAAAAAAATACGCGCGTGATATGTATGAGATTTGATAATGTGAAATATTCAGAGTCATTTAAGAATATAAACGAATGTTTCTTATTTCAATTATTGAATTAAAATTTCTCAATGTAATCAATTGAGTCACTCGAAATAAGGCGCCAAATAGATATTGCACTATATTTCTTCAATAAAAACTTTAAATATGGCTATATTTTGTCGGCAACATACAAAGCCAACATCAAATGAACGAGCATTTTGTCAAGCATTACTCAATAATGAGAATCCTATTTGGGTCAGTATATAATCTCGAATTATATTTCTTAATTAAAAATTTTCAAAGGATGATAACGATATGGAAAAAATACATAAACGAGGTTTTCGTTTACCTCCTGACAATTTTGTATATGGTATCAAACATCCAAAACAAAATGGTATTACTGGTGTAGCTGCAGGCAAATATTTGATCGATTTTTGATTAATTTCTAATTAACATTTTTCTATTAGCTCTACAATACGATAATACACCGATGAACACATCGAAATCAATTATTGTTCCTAATTTTATTGAAATAAACAAAGCTACTGTTCAATTAGGTCTTACTAAAGTACAAGATATACATCAATATCGGTAGATGAGATTTTTTTTCGTAATGGTTCTAAAAATTCATCATACCGATTTAATTTCGATTTTTTTTCCCGTAATAGAAATTACCATAAAGAATTCAAATAGTGATTTGGATAGAAGAAATTGTTGTCAACAAGAATTTGAAGACAATAAAATTTTCATTGTATTCTCGAAATCCAGAATCTCTTGGAAACTCAAAATCTAGTTTTTCAGTATACAGAATCCGAAAATAAAAATTTATTTTAACTACGCAAAGCAATAGAACATTTTGTGACTGAGTCACATAAAATTTTAAGAGAAGTTCAAAAGTGCTTTTTATCTGGTTTTCCCTTACGAAGTGACAAAAAAAAACTATTTCTGGGAATTTCCTAATATCGATGTAGTTTCGTAAAATAGTGTCGTGAAGAGCTCGGAGACATTTCATTTTCTAAAGAATTAGTTGCTCTATCGTCTTGTGTAATCAAAAGAAGCTCTTATATTCGAGTTTTATGTTCATAGAAACTAGATATTAGGTTTTCTGCAGATTCTAGATTTTGGGAATATTGTGAAGATGTTATTTTCGTCAAGTCCTTGTTGAAAACAATTTCTTCTATTCAAATCACTATTCGGATTGTTTATGCGAGTTAGAGTTCTCCAGGATCGGGTAAGGGTAGTGAAAAAAAATGTTTAGGATAGAATTAGAGTGTTTTTCATATTGCTAATAGGCTTTTAAGCAAGCAATTTCGAAGATACCACCTGACATCTTTCTGGTTTAGAGGAAGTCGGTAGTTATTGTTAAAACGAAATTCAGTTTTAGTAAGGAAGAATCAGTATTGGACTAGTAAGACAAGTAGTCATTGACCTATCTACAACTTAGTATATTGGAAAAAAGGCTATAGAAAGCTCCAACACGTTCAATTACAAGTGAACATATTTTCAATACAAGCGAAAGAGTTTTTTGGAAGAGAAAGAAGACAGAATTGAGTGGTGACATTGTTAATGACATTTTATTCTTACGAAACTTTTGAAATATGTGTTAATTTTATATTTGATTATTGTTGGAAATCAATAAAATATGCTGAAACATAATGAAGAAAAATCATATTAACATATGCCAAAACATAGAAATCTTAGTGTACAATACAGTATGAAAAAGTCTCACCCTGTAGGACTCTGATGCAAGTTACCATGAAGGAAAAACATTGATGTAAAATCTGTATGATTAATTTTAGGAATCATTGTATATGCATGAAAAATTATTTTGTTTTTCATATTAGGAAAACAATGAATAATCATCTAGTAAATATAAATCCTTGTTATAGTACCGATATTAAAAAAAAATCAATACCAGATATGATTCATGGACGAATTACAGGGTATGTTTATATACACGATGGCCAAAAAGTAACAGGACATAAAAGGTATCCTATAATTACTGATGATAAATTGTTAATGGTATTTTTCATACTTTTTATTGATGTAGAAAGGTGAAACTTTCAGTAATAAAAGGTCTGATTAGATATAAATTTGATAAAAATTTCAGCTCTCTACATTAATAAAAAGTATGAAAAATACCATTAACAATTTATCATCAGTTATTATAGGATACCCTTTATGTCCTGTTACTTTTGGGTCACCCTGTATATATATATCTTCACTATCTAGATTTATAAATGTTTAATTTAAATATTTAATTAGTGAACGACAATCAATTCGTGATTTAATTGAAAATAAATATCTACATGAATGGCTTCATAAAGCTGCAATACGTCGTTGTAAAAAAATTTTAAATAATAACACACCTGTGAGTAAAATAAAATTTTGACCAAAATCTTTTCGAATCTTTTTTTTTTTGCTTTACTGATTAGAAAATACCGAAAGCTTTTTTATTGAAAACAAATTCAAAATATAATAATAAACAATAATTTATTTGCCAAACAAATATCAACAAAAACAAAAAGGAATTTAGTTTGAGATAATTTTCATTTGATTGTTGAGTCATTTTTCTATTGACGAAGATTCATTAGATTATATTTTTATATTCGAGGCTGATTTATTCGATAATTGATTAACAAATGATTTTTTAATGCCTCCGATTTATTTGAGGAATTTATTAATAGATATGATCTAAATAAAATAGAAGAATTTATGATTATAGAACAGTTTGAAAAAAAAATCCAAAACAGTCATTTACTCTTAACTAATACGAGGTATTGTGTGTTGAATATGATTTGGAAATTTGTTTAACTTTGGATTATTACGAAAACCAATATAATCTTTAAAAAAAAGTTAAATAAAATTAAAATTAATAAAAAAAACAAAAATTTATCAATAAACTTACCATCACGAATATCAAGATTTGTAAATGAATGCCAAAGAGTTTTAAGTTTAGAATTAATTGTTTCAGAAGAAAATAATTGTTGAAGATTTGTTTTGTTTTCTTGTTCTTGTTCTTGTTCTTGTTCTTGTTCTTGTTCTTGTTCATTTTCAAGCATTTGATATTTAGTTAATGTTGTACAAAAAGTATCAATAGGATAATTTTCAAACGTATGAATCATTGTTCTTAAATTTTCAATTTCTTTATAAAATATTGATGAACCAAATAACCAAGAAGCAATTGTCATTATTTCATTTTGATCATTCATCCATATTAAACGAGGTGTTTTATTACTATTTAACCATAGACTAAATAATTAATTTTAAAAAATTTAACAAAATATAAAATATTTTTCAAAAAACAAAGACGTCTTACGCTGTTAATATTAAATGAAGATTTAAAGTTCCGTGACAATATTCAATACCATTATTATTGTTATTTGATAGTAAACGAATAACAGGTGTATTATGATTCATATTTACGAATTTTGTATATTTACTCTCAGCATTATTAACTTGTTGTATTAAATGATTCCAACTAACTGGTGACAATTTAGCTGTTGAAGGTTTCATAATAAGACCTTTTTTTAATGGTCGTAACGGGGTACCTGTAGATTGTTGTACTATTTCTAAATGATCCTCATCAGTAATAACACAATTAACAGATAATTTTCGAACTCTCTCAGAAATTCCAATATCCGTTAAATATTTTGGATCATATGGACAATAAATCAAACCAGCTTGAAGACATGCTAATAATAATAAAACTCGTTCTTTAGCATTATTGGGTAAAATAACAAGTACCTATGTAGACACAATATATTTCTATATATATATATATAAATGTAAAATTAATAACATACAGTTTGACCTGGTGTTAAATTATATTCTCTATTAGTGAACGTATTAGCCAAGCGACATGATTGTTTATGTATATCATCAAATGTTAATTTTTGACTTTCATCACCTTCACTTTCACACATCCATAATGCTTCTCTTTTTGGTTGTTCAACAGCCCAACGTTGCAGAACATCATTAATAAGATTGTGGGAAATTGCTTTTCCTTGCTGTGCATAAGTATCAAGCAAATGATTTAGTTGTGTTTGTCTTTCATTGCACGATGATGATTGTACAACGTTAAATAATTTATCAACTACTGGTTTTGTTGATAACCGTCGAATTGATTTTATCGTCATTGTAACGCCGATCAAAAATGAAAAACGCATCGAGTATAGCTTGATGAAAAAAAAAACGAAATGATTTAGAACAGAAGTAATAGGGAACAAAAGTAGATGTGTTTCTTACTTACATATACAGTATGACAACGTAATCATGTAGGAAGTAACAGAAAAGACAATTATTTGTCACATTTACATGTTTTTTTTCTTCCCTTTTATTTTAATGGTGTCATACCTGATTCATATGTATGATGCAATATGAAATAGCTTTGTTTTGCTATAAATACCTTATTGGGGACCTCCCCCCATGAAAATTTTTTTTTCTGCCATTCAGTCTTAATGATATTTTTAGATTTGTATCTCAAGTTAAATATAGTGCAATAGAGTTTCAGCTAGATACATTTAATCCATGAAGAGTTAACTTAAGATTATGAGTGTCAAAATATAGATGTCTATACGTACTTGATTTCTTCAATATTTCAAATACGAGAAAGTTCGGATTGGTTTTAAAATGTAGTGAAGACGTAGTGGTGCAACTTAATAGAGATTGATTGTTCTTACTTTGTTTTTCTCGAAAATTCGTCTGATTAAATACCGCAAAATCATGCGGTATAGATCCAAAACGATTAGTGTTTAGTAAAGATTAAAAGGAAAATCAAAAAAGCTCGACTCTTTTAAGTTGTAGAGCTGATTTTCGCCTACGTTTTGGCAACATTTTCAGACTTCTACCGTTTAATTCTTTACCCTGAATTGTCAACTGGAATTACTATTTTTAGAAACATGACAGAAAATGTAGGACACGTGATATCAACGAACTCCTTACACACTGTATGTAGAGAATTCTTTCACGACTTACAAAAGAGACGAATATGAGATTATTAAAAAAAGAATCTCGTATTTTTAAATTGTTATTTTGTTTTATTACCTACGAGAAACACTTATATTGATGATGTGCAGTGCAATAAATATTGATGAACGTTGCTACTATTGAATAAAATACGTTTAAAAATTTTCACACGAATTAGTTGAACAAGAGTTTGTATGATATAGAATGGCAATTGGATTTGTCATTAGAGGATAATAATATAAAGAAAAGATTCAGAAATTCTCGTCTATAGGCAATAGTTAGTAATATTTACGCTTAGATAAGTAAATAGATTGCTGTTATTTATAAATACAAGCATTGTTTGTTCTTATACCAATGTCTAGTATGGATATGTGCGGAGGTGTCACAGTCGAATCAGAAAACAGTCAAGCCGTACCTCTCATCCACACCCTAGTTTTTTTTTTACCATCTGTTCGTATGAGAAGTTGAAGAAGAATAAATCACTAAATATGTCCTTTACTTGATGATATAATTACTTCGAGGGAAATGTACTCTACGTACATAGAAAATTGTTCCAGTAGCTCATGTGATGTAGAGAAAAGAAGCAAATCTTTTTGGGCTTCTTTTTTTCGCATTATCGCATGACAAAGATGTATTGTATTTTTGTGGAATCAACAAGCATCTCGCAAAAGATTAAAAAACCACTTTCATGTCATTACTCTCCAATAGCAATTCGAGTTGCCTAATTACTGTACATACAGAGAAACTCAAGTGATCGATCTGCCGATATTATTGACCTACTAAAGAGCAAAGTGCTCTGTTTCAATAGTTGCTTTATTGTGGACTCTTTTAGAACTATTATCAGAGGTCAAGGGTTAAAATAGTGCAGAAACCTGGAATGTACGAAAGCATAAAAATAAAAGACTGTTGTATTTCCTTGTTATATTTAGCGATGTATGATACTCATGTTCATCACTATCAAAAGTAAATAGAGAAGTTTGAAAAATTTTTAACATTATTTTCTTCTGTATGAGACTTTCGAAAAACCTATATAATATGCTTAGATCTCACCATCAAAAATCAATAAACTATAATGTATTGTAAAGTAGACAATTTGCTTTATCAAATAAGTTATCAAGCACAAAATCGGATTTTTTTCTGAAGTTCTTCAAAAAAAAAATAATTTTTGTCATGTCAATCATTTTATTGTAAAAAAAATAATTTTTTTTTTCTTTTTTTGTTATTCTTGATTTCACACTAACATCTGTTCAAAATATAAATAGCTACATAACTACAACAATTATAATTGCACAAAAAAACAAAATGAAAGAAAAAAATAAATAAAGCAAAATAAAAAATTTAAAGTTTATATATCATCAAGTAAAATATATTTAATTAATTGTTTATTCTTCACCGGAAGTGTTTCAATAGATTGTCGAAAATGACTACCTGAAATTTGAAAACGTATTTTTAAACGACATAAACTTTTTAATGAACGTATTCGTTGTTGAAATAATGTTATTGGTGGTGTATAACCAGCTTCAATTAATAAACGAGCTAAACGCATATGTTTATTTATAATTAACCATTGAAATAAATTTTTATCATTTATATTAAATGATATGGCACCATAACGTATAAGATTATTTATTATTGAAATATTATATTTAACAAAATCAAATGCTGTTAAATGATATTGATTATAAATGCGTACATTTGCACCGGCTTGTTCAAGTAATAAATGTACTATATCATCATAAGAATGAAGTACAGCTAACATTAAAGCTGTTGTACCATGACGATCTTGTATATCTACATTTGCACCTATTTTAAATAAATAAATAGATTAGTATTGAATAGAAATTTTTTCTTTTTTATTTTTACCATGTTGAAGAAGAAATTGAACAATATCAAAACGATTTGATTTTGCTAATACAGCATAATGAAGTGGTGTTTTACAATCAGGTAAATGTTGTTTATTAATGTTAGCATGAAAATAATTTATTAATATATCAACTATTTCATATGAACCAAAATGACAAGCAGCAGCTAGAATAATGAATAGATAAAAAAGTGTTTACTTGAATTAATTATACCTAATGGTGTTAAAGGCTGATTAAAATCATCTCGATATGAACAAAAAAAAAGACTTTGATTTATTGTTGTACGATATCGATTTGATTCAAGAATACATCGAACTGTTGTAAGATCATGTCGAATAATAGCAATTATTAATCGATCATCAATATTATAGAGTGTAAGCAAGCGATGATCAGCAGGTAGCATAAAGACTTTTTTTAATTATATTTTACAAAAAAACAATAAATAAATAAATTTTTTTACTATTTCAAATTAATCATATATATTTCATTATGTTCTGTTTTGATAGTCAACAAAAAGCAAAATTTTGAATCAAAAGCAACAAGTTATCTTTAGATAGACGGTGCGAACCAATCAAATACAAAGTCCATGTTTTATAACATTCCAAATACAAGCACTCGTCTTTCTTTTTCCACATGATTGCAACATCCGAAGACATCTAGTAATGACGTACAAAATTGTTTCTTAATTATTATCATTCGTTGATATTTTTTTCTTTCTTCTACATAATATTTTCTTGTTATTTGTTATTATAATGTTTACAGTAGCGGATGTAGAAAGAAGCAATAGGGATAATTGCCCTTGGTTTTCGAGCTATTTTTTTTTTCAGTAGAAAAACATGCAAAAATAAACAGAGACGATCTTTGATTTGATTTAAAAACACATTTTATACCTATGATCACTCTCATTCATCAAAATTCTAAGTTCGTCACTAAATATTTAAGAAGTAATGTAGTGAGCAAAGAAATAAAAATCAAAATAGTCTATTAGTGATTTAAGAAAATTAGACAATTTAATTTGAAATTGATTAATTTAATCAGTTGAAATCATGAATTGAATTTATGAAATAAATTTTTAAAGATTAAATAGTTAGATAGCATGTATTCACTTGAAAAAACAAAAACAAAATTCAGAATTTATAAGAGTAGATTTAAATCAAATTGAATTTCTCATTTTTGTTTTTCATTGAATCGTTGTCCAACTTTTTTGATTTTAGTCTGTATACTAAATCACATAATGAAAACTATGTGAACCCGATGTAGTCTGATAGCAGTTGCTCTTTTAAGAACGTAATCAATTTAAATGTTGAATTTAGATAGATCAATTGAAGAATTAATATAATTTCGAAAACATTGTATATTACAGCATGTTCACCACATTCACATTCACACTTTTTGATGATTGACAAGTATTAAAAAAAAAACTAACTTATCAAATCAATCATAAAGAATTTATTTAGATGACAGTAGCTATTCTTCTAACTATGAGGTACAAAAAGTATTATTATTGTTATTGAAAAAACAAAAGACAAATATGTATACGACGGCTACATTAGCGAGTTTGACAGATTGGATAATACTTGAGTAGCATCTAGGTATTTCGATCAAATGATTGTACATTTCAATTACTGAAAACATCAGGACACAATTAATGCAGTTTGATTTTTCAGCATATCGTCAAGATGATGAAAGAAAGAAAAAGAGATACATAAAATATAATCATAGAATTTCATGAAAATAAATTAGGTTACAAAGGATATCTATTGAAAACTCTTTAGATATAACATTCGAAGTGAATGATAATCTATAGATTATGAATTCAAGCTTAGTTTTAGATTAAATTTGGTTCAATTCAGACAACCTATTTGATCCATAGTTAACTTTCAATAATAAAAATCTCGAAATATTTTCTATTTTTTTTAGTATTTTCTATATGAAAGTAATACTTATTAGTTTTTAGCAAAGACTAAAAAATCTGATTGATTGCTTTCATATCATCACAGTGACTGGAACAAAAAAAATAAAATAAAGAAACGACAAAGAAAAAATGAACGAGCGAGTATAACCCATGAAAAACTTTGCTTTTCTGAGCAATCAATCTAAGTATGAAAAGATATAATGGAATATCTTTGCCGTAGGAACAAAAGAACTAACTTTTTTTTTATTATCATTTAGACTAGATACAATCATGAATAATATTAGATTGTAACAACATTGTTCATTGTCAATTTATTTATTTATTTAGTTTCTTCTTCTTGATCGATCATTATTATTACTATTATCTTATACGAGTCGTCGAGTAGTTCTTAGTTTTATCAGAATTCATATTCACATAAACAATACTTCATATAGTCATATTGTCTTTGTATACATGACTTTCTTGTCTTGTCATAAATACACTCATCTTCTTCTTCCAATCAATTATTATCGTATTATTAGTATGTCAAAACATATGCAAGTCGTGATAAGTAGGTCGAGCATATGAAGAATTGATTTGTTCGCTTCTCTCTTCATATGCTAATGACACTAATCGATAAGATACATCAAAAAAGTATAGATGCCAGAATGTTGCAGATGTGGAGAAATGTCCTTATACGGAATAGGACATGTTGTTCTCATAAACAGCAACATGGAATTTGTACCGAGCAAAGATATCCTTCGGTTGTGTTATTTTTATCGATACCATATTTGTCCTGTTCGATGTATAAAGACTATGATAGCATATATTACGGATGAGTCAAACATGCATATTGATCTTTAGACTTTTTTTTCTAGTATCTTGTTCCACACTAATGAGAAAAATGATCCTTGTTAAAATACAAAAAACGAATTGTATTTTTTACCAAAACTCTTTTGTATGTAATTCATATTCATATAAAATAGTGTTTGTGGACAATGACTGATAAGAAATTGTACATCGATCGATGAAATCAATAAATTGGTGTTGTAAAGATTCAGTATTTATGATGTTCATAAAAGAAAAAAATAACAAAGATTTCTTTCTACATTACCAAGAAGTTCAACAAAATTGAATAGGACCCAGTATTTTCATATACAAATTTCTCTGATTTTCAAGAAAAAAAAATGTTATTCTATGTAATAATCAAATTTAATTTCACACTTTTATATCACAGATGGATGTTGACGTTAGACTTTTTGTTGAAACCAATGTCTTCGACCTACATCTTCTCTAACATTTAATTTAAGAACATTCTTTTAACACAATCAAAAAGTTTTCATCGATGGACAGAGTAATAATTTGATATACTTGTCTTCAAAATAAAACATCTATTATTCTACCATAATCGACAATAAACGATTTTTGAATCGTAAATTGTTTTATTGTCACAAACATAAAAGATTTCGTTTAAGATTTGTTTACATTTCAACAATGTTCATGAATCAAGCAATAGAAATTCCCCAAGTTGTCGATAGTTTATCAACAGAGTTATAATAACTTCTTGAGGAATCATGAATCGATTGTTAGATTCGCTGACAGTGACACCATTAACGTGATAGTCAAAGTGATGCATTTTCTGGAATAGTTTTAATAACCACAAATTCATCTTCACACAATGCTGCATTGGTTCGGGTGTAAGAGTAAAACATAACGTGAATATTGTGTTGTTGGTTTTTTCATTTCGACAATCTTGGAACTGTCGGTGGCGTTGACAGAGAATTCCTATTTCTCAATTTTTAGACACCTCAAAATTTTCGACTACAATAAAAGCAAGAAACTATTTACAAATAAATGAAAATTGTATTTGTTGTCGGCGAAAATGACTGATTGGTTCCTTAGATGATTTGATAATTTAGTCAAAATTAGATAATCATTCATATCATGAAAGCCAAACGAATTGAGAGTCGATTCTCAATCACATTCAAATATACTAAAGTTTTTAATACCATTGGCAGTTAAGAGAGAAAAGTAAATTCTACAATTAAATATTACGTTTTGAGCTGACTTTTCTTGTTCTTGTCAGTCAATTGTTGAATTCAAAATGATAAAAACAAACATGAACACTACTGCAAATCAATTACACGATCTGATGATTAACATGTATACAAATATGTAGAAGAGAATAAAATTTTGTGGGTTGATCGTGGATCCACTATCATCTAAAACAAAATATCAGACCAATCAATTCCATTTTATCGGAATTGATTTAGGACTGAAGCTAAAAATACAAACGATTTTATCAATTCATATTCATATTATCTTATTTTTATTTTTACTATTATCAATTGTTATATAATATTTACAAGATAAAATGATATCATTGTTACGCATGATACTAATTTTTTTCGTATAATTGTTTTTGATTCATTAGACTTTTTACAACACACGAAAATGATAAGCATGATTGATAGGCAATGAAATATTGCGTGAAATTGAAAAATTGGTTCAATATGCAATTTCGTCAAAAAGTGAAGTGTAATTGAGACTCAACATTTCAATATACTGAAGTTAATACAGACAATTAGACTTTCTATCCAAGTATCAAACCTATGCACGTAATCTTGGTACAATGTGTTTAGTCAGGAATTAAATTCCACTGTTCATCAAAATTACAAAAATTCCGGTTTCAACCATCGATCGCATGTAACAATATGAAATCATAGTTCGACGATATATATTTCCATGAATATGAAAAGAATCTCGCTTTTAGCTTAAATCCAAACGAAAGTTTTTAAAATAAATAACAGATTTTTCGGAGAGAAATATAAAACTTGAAATTTCATGTTTTCATGAATTCACCGAACTTCTTTTTACAATGAGATTTCTCATTTTCTAAATTATATATTCGTATAACTGAAAAAAACAGAATTTCTCTTCAAGTGAAGTAACACAACAAATCCTCGCATATACAAAGTATACACTATCATCTTTTCTGCGAAATTGAATTCTACAACCGAGTCTGGCATCCGGTCTAGCCGTATGCCTGGTTTCGGATATTAATTGCTGGATCGTATCTGGTTACAATTTTTTACCCGGCAGTTATGTACATTCCAATAGTCAATATTGGTCCTAATTATTTCAAGCTGTTATTTATTTATAGATATCGAAATGAAAAATATTAGTTCGATCATATCGTCACGAATTGACATATTCAAGAATAACTAACGTCTTGGAACAAAGAATTTCGTTTTCTTTTGTTGTTATTTATTTTTGAAATTGAATCAAATATTTTCTAATTTGGCATAAAACTTTCGAAAATTTCTGATGCTTGAAAAAATCTCCTGGACACCGAGTCAATGTCGAGTACAGCTCATTAGATCATGATTTGGATCCTGAAATCAGTTCATTGGATCAAGTTAAGAAAAGTTGTACTCATGCAGAACACTACTCTAAAATTAAAATGAATAGTTTTCAATAGTTATTCAAAACGTATTATTTTCTTTTATTTCAATAATAAAAAAAACCAACAGTTTCTATAAATAGAATTCATATATTATAAATTTTACATTGACAAATTTCATTCTCACTACGATATAAAAAAGAAATCTAAAAATATTAAATATATAACTAATAAATCGGCGACATCTATAATCAGAATTTCATATGATCATAGACATCCATATGGGTATACTATATTTTATAAATGGCTACTCAATCAATTAATAATATTGCAAATTAAAAAGAAAAAAATTCTTCTCGTTGTTTGTATATACAGTCCCGTATATGGATACATTAAAATGAATTTAGACGTCGACGATATATCATTGTTCTCTAGTAAACATACATTTTATCTTTTACATATCTTGTTTTTCTTAAATTTCTATCCGATTTTCATCATTAATCATTCTAATCGTCTATTTCGATTTATTCTTCAGTCAATAAAATCGTCTCTACACCATTATCATCATCAATACCAAAGTAAACTGTCCATCATCTTATATGTATAAATATATATATATATATATAAATTCTTCTGCGATAAAAAAAAGAAAAAAGGAAAATTTGTCCTCTTACCTATAGTCTTTCCTATTACATTTTTTTTTTCATAAATCATAATAAGAAACAATGAAATTTTTAATTTATATTTTATCATGTTTTTTTCCCACCTCTTTCAGAGACAACAAAGTTGGTTATACAATAAATATTTTCTTTTTTTTTTCAATTCATGGTAAGTTAATAGAAAAATTTCAATGAAAAAAAACAAAAAAAAAAAGAAATACTTTATATTTATCTAGTTGATTGTCTATTGATAAATTTCAATGGATACTGAAAATACAACTGATGAACGGAATCAATCAATATCAAAAGGAACAATAACAACAAAATTACGTATGAAAGAACGTAGTCGTTCACAAACCATACCTACAAATACAGATATAAATGATCCGGAGAATTTAGATTATGAAGATATTGATGATAATCATTCACCAGGTAAATTAGAAGATAGTCATGAATTAGAACAAATAAATAATCCGGTGAACAATATAAATGATGAAATAAAAACATCAATAAATAATCAAGTAAAAAAAAAACAAATTAATTAAAACGTTTTTTTTTTTTACAAAAGATTTTATTCTTAATTTTATAGGATGAAGAAGATAAAACATTAAATAAACCGCAAGAAATAAATAATAATACTTCATCATCAATAATAATTAATCCAGAAACAGCAAGTGATGAAGGAGAACTGGTACGTTAAAATTTCTATTATCTTGTTTTTTTTTTGTTTTTAATTACTAATAATTTTAAATTAATGAATTTCTTTATCCTTTTTTTTCTAAAAAGGATGAAGCTGATTTAGAAGATGGTGAAATTCATGATCCAAGTGCATCAAAAAATCGAACATCAATTTCTGATGATCAAACATTAGAACAAAATCGTAATCGAATAAATACCAATATATCACCATCACCGCAAGCTAAAGTTCATTGTCGATTTTTTCTTCAAGGTCGTTGTCATTGGGGACCTAATTGTAAATTTATCCATCCAAATAATGATTTAACAAAAAGTATATGAAAAAAAAATTTTTTTTGTTTTAGGATAAAATTTTTTTAATCATATTTTTATTTAGATTCAAGTGGACCACCTGTTGATAGTTTAGTATCAACAAATAATGAAATTTCATCATCAACACCAACTGGTATTCCTATACCACAAACAACAACAACACCGAATTCATGGATCTCACCACAAGCAACAACTGCTGTAAGGATGTTTTTTTTTGTTTTGGAAATAAAACAAATAATGTTGTTATCAAAAAAAGTTTTGTTGATACGAGAGGACAATCAAAAGAAAATTTCAGAGTGCGAGATTCATATACCTTGTTATTGATAAGAGTTGTTAACTTGTAAGATAATCATATTAAATCTATTGTTCACTAAATTATAGTATATCAATCCTTAAGTGGATAGTAGATATAGTCAAGACTGCAGACAAAAAAACCAGTTGTAATCATATCTATTGAATAGAGCTGTACCGAACTAAGGTTTTTTTTTGGTTCCGATTATGACCTCGGTAAATGTAAATATCTTAAAAAATTCTTCGATACTTGTTGTTTTTTTACTTAGTCAATGGCTTACACTTTATTTGAGTTATCTCTTTTGAATTATGTTCTGATTAATAAGATAATTGGCTTAAAATTATAGAATATTTTAATTATAATCTTTAGTTTTGGTTGAGACAATTTTTTTTTCTCATAGCCCCAGCAAATCTTCAAATTTTGCTCCCGTACAACCTTATTATTGAATATTCATATAGATCTGTATTTTTCGAAGAACAAAATTTTTATTTTATTTTTTTAGACATCTCAATTTTTTCCTAATCCGGTTCTTCGTGGTCCAACACAACCATCTGGTATACCATTAGTACCACCTACTGGTGCAGAATCAGCATGGGAACGTGGATTACGTTCAGCTAAAACAGTTTGCATTTGAATATTTATTCTAATATTTAAATTTATTTTGTTTTATATTTAGCTTCGTGAACAATCCATGCGGCGTAAACAACAAGATAAAGATTTTAATGATAAAAAATTTAATTTAACTATACGTGATGCACTTGATGACAAAGATGGAGATGATAATATTTTAAATATTGATCGGTAAAAGATTGTTTTTTTTTGCATATTTATTTTCTCTTAATAAATAATTCTTATTTTAGAGCATCTTCAATTGATTATGATCTGAATAATTTGTCTGGATCAAATTATACTGATCAACGTAACTATCCTGATCGATATCATCCATATATATATACAGGTTCATCTGCTAATCCTCATTACAATAATAATAATAATAATAATAATAATCATCATCATCGAATGAATAATAATAATTCTCGTAATAATAATAACAATAATAATAATAATACTAATACATTAGCAACAAATAATCATTCTGATCGTCGTTCACGTCATTCAGAGGATTACATCGATGCACGAAATGATAATCGAAATCGAAAAGAAAATTTATCAACAAAACATAGGTAAGAAGTTTATTGAATAAACAAAAGAAAAAAGAAAATTATCTTTAATATTTCCTTTTTTTTTTTAATAGCAAGACAACTTCAAAAAAAGATGATTCATCAGCATCAACATCATATAAACGAAATTTATCTCAACAACAGTATACATCCGGTTCACATCATAATAATGATGCGCAATTACATTTTAATCCATATGGCGGTCGACGAGGAGATGATTGGCAAGATCCATGGGATAGGTATTTCATTTTGTTTTTTTGTGAAAGTATTCAATAGAATAATGTAAAGAAAAAGAAAGTTTTTTAGTTACAGATTAAAGTTGATTTAATCTTTTCAAAACTTCGACTATTGTCGGCGTCATAATTAAAGAGTATTGATTTTAAACTCAATAACTCGACAATGGAACATCGTTTTCATACAATTGTTTTCGAATGTTTTGTGAAAACAGACATAACTTGGCATTGGAGACAGGAGACGTCACGTTCCTGTGCATAGATGATGGATGTTAAAATAATTTTGTCTTATATAATATCAGACAAAAAGATATTCAGAGTCCTCATATTTCGATTGCCGAGAACCGCAGGTCATTAACTGTTACCATTGTCGAATTACAAAAGTTTAAACACACATTCCTCTTTGATTCTTATGCGGATATTAGTTCGTTTTTTTGCCCATCATACAAAACTAATGTCCTGTACTTGGTATTTTGCCAGATGTGAATAAATACTAAATAAAAATTTTGTATCAAGACTGATGCGGAAAGATTATCAAAGTGATGAATCGCTTTGAAGCTGAAACTATATTCAATCAAGAGGATCTAATGAGTAAGATTCGAGCAGCTGGGCTTTTCTTACTAAGATATCGAATTTTTCTGTGAGTTTTTCATACTTTTGCATTTCGACCTGAAACTTTACTCATATAAAGGCAATGATTAGACTAGCTGATAGAAAAAATTTCAGAATTTTTTGACCAAATCTCTCCGAGATACTTTTTAGAAAAATCATGGCAAAACGTCTATATTTTAAAAAATTCATATCTTGAAAAGACTTGGTGAAAAAAAACTCTGAAATATTTTCTATCGACTATTCTAATCAATGTCTTTATGTGGGACAAGTTTCAGATCAAAGCTTAAAAGTATAAAAAAACTAGAGCTCTACAGAATAAATTCAATATCTCAATAACAAAGGCCCAATTGATGAAATCACTCGAACGTATTTAATTACTCACTAGATCCTATCAATTAAATATAGTTCAGCTTAGAAGCGACTTATCACTTGGGAATCTTCTTTCGTTAATCTTGATGCAAAATTTTTGTTTAGTCTTGATTCACACCCAGCACTGAACACTATACTAAATAAAAATATAGTACTCTCAGGATAGAAATACTCGAATAGATACATTTACTTCTTTAGAATTCAATTAATATTTTCTATACTTTTCTTAGATCAAGAAATCACGGTAGTGGTAATCGTCGTTCATCAGGTGGTGGTCGAGGACCATCCTATTCATCATCATCGGCTACATCATCTAGGTAATGATATTAGTTTTTTTCTTTGTCAGAAATTTTATTATTTCTCAAATATCTTATGGAAAATTTATGTTTTTTTTTTTGGTTTAGTTCATCTCGATCATCTCATTCACGTTCTCATTCAACTTCATCATCAAGTCGATCAAGGCAAGTTTAATAGCTTATTTAGAAATGCTCGTTTAATTCTTGCATAATTATATAAATATAAATTTTGTTTTTTTGCATATAATTTATTTTTACATTTGAGTTACGGTTTAGATCGAGATCAAGAAGTAGACCAAAACGTCGTTCACCATCTGTAACACGTGCAACAAAACCAACATCAACAGCAAAATCATCCGAGTACTTTAGTTTATTTGTTCTTTTTATTTTTATTATATAAGAAAACAAAAAAACATTAATTAAATTCTAAATAATATTTTTTTTCCAAATAGAACGGTTAAAAATGGTAATGAAAAAAAATCAAATAGTAATAAAAAATTAGCATCATCACCAATAACAACAACAAATAAATTTCTTCCTGGTCGACAAATATCAAGTCATACATTAAAAAAAGCAGAAAAAAGTAGTAATAGTAGTAATTCAATGATTACTAATCATTTAAAAGATCAACATGGAAAAGATTCGGATATAAATGTAAAAAAACCAATAAAAAAAGAAAATATTAGGTATAAGAAAATATTTAAAAACAAAAAAAAAGAAAAAATTTTTATTTTATTATTTTTATTTTAATTTAGTCGATCGGATAGTACAAGTTCATCATCATCATCAGATAGTGATACTAATCGAATAACACATCGATCGTCTAGTTCATCATCGGATAGTTCAAGTTCAGAGAATGATATACGAACATCAACAAAAACAAAAACAGGTAGAATTTTATTCATATAAATCTTTAATATTTCAAATAATCTATAACACAATCGGCAATTAATGTTTCAAAAACTGTATTTATAAGTACAAAAGTTTTAAAACCTATCAATGCAAGATAAACAAAACTGACGAGGACATCATTCCAAGTGTCAAATCAATTTTCGACGGAGATAATGTTTATTTAATGAGCAGTAGAAAAGTCTAGAATGGTTTGGCTTTTCAAGCCTTCACCTTTGAGATATCGAAATTTTACTTAGTTTTTTTTTCAATACAAAGCTGTGGTTTCTTTCTCAGATCACGTTAAAAAATTAAGTTTCAACTTCAAACTTTGCACAAACAAAGTTCTTAATGAAATTAATTGATTGTGCAACTAGTATTTCCTTTCTGAAGATGTAAATATACGAACAAAAATTTGCTGCTACACATAGAAGAATTTCGAATATTGAATATCTCAGGATAGAAGATACTAGAAAGTTCCAACTTGCCCAGTGAACTAATATCAGTAAGAATTTTGTTCATGTGAAATTTGAAGTTAAAAGTCGATTTTGCACGTGACATAAGAGGGACCGCAGCCTTTTGTTGAAAAACCCACTAAAATTTCAATACCTCGGCAATGAAGATTTGGAAAATCAAACCATTCTAAACTTTTCTATTACTCATCAAATGAACATCATCTCAGTCAGAAAGCAATTTGACACCTAGAGAAGTTCCTTCTTGAGCTATTAAAAACTGTTTCGCATTTTGCAACAATCTACTGACAGTTGTTCAATCTTACCTCAGAAGGAAATTCTACTTTTGCTTCTAACTACTTATCTTCAAGTGACGTGAATATTTTGTGTCAAGTTTTTCGTGACATAGATGATAGCAACTAATATGCTGTTTTATGGCAGCTTTTTGTAACTTTATTTAGACACATTAATGAAAAGATTTCTTAGTCACAAATATGTCGCTATATACAGACTAGGATTAAAAGAGAATATTGGAACATCAATAACAGACTTCAAGCTATAGGATAGGTCTAGCTGAATCTATAGACAGTAGTGGTGGGGGCTCAGTCCTTCCTGGACGGCTTTGAGCTTTCCTAAAACCTTTTTTTTGATTCCGTCATTACTAGAAATCATTTAACAGTTATATCTAACAAACATATCATTTTACTGGAAGTTTTATTCTGCTCATATAGGCATTATAAATACACGGACGATAACAAATAAGAAGTTAAAACATTGATTAGTTTGTATGAAATTTAAGATTATGTATCAAATAGTTCTATACTGAATTTCAATAGCTAGAATTTTTGGAAAGATTCTAATTTTGTATTAGTTATTTATTTGAATAAATCTTTTTAAAAAATTTTTTAATGTATTTTAATATTTTCTTTTTGCTTAGCTTCTGGTGGAAGTAAAACAACAGCCGGTAGTAGTGGTAGTCATTCAACAAAATCAATTAATCGACAATTATCTTCAGCATCAGGTGGCGGTGGTAGTAAAAATACAAATACAAAATCAAAAAATGATTCTATAAATCGTGAATCATTAAAAAATAAAGAATCATCATTAACATCTGCTAAAGTAAATCAATTGGTTTTTTTCTGTGTTAATTTTTTTTATAAATATTTTCTATTTATTATAAAGAAACGACGTGATACATCATCATCAACAGGTTCAACCAGTGCAGCAAAAAAGACAAAATTAAATAGTATAAATACATAATTCATATTATATAAAAATTAAAGTTTTTTTTTTTTTATTTCATTTTAGTAGATTCTCATAAATCGTCAACTGATGCAAATAATACAGAAAATTCTGATTCTTGTTTGTATTTTTATTCAAAAAAAAAAATTTTTTTTTTGGTTAAATTGTGTTTTTTGTTTTTTTTCGTTTAGGTAAAAAGAAAGAAAAACAAAAAATATTAAAAAAATTACAAGAAGTAGAAAAACTTATAAATCAACGATCGACAAAAACGTCATCTTGACTTAATTAATACATAAAAAAAAAAATAGAACTTAATTGTAAATTTCTTTTCTCTTTTTTTTTTTTTCATTGTTCGAGCCTTTGTGTGTGTGCGTGTGTGGATAGTCTCCTCTATGTATATGCATATTAGAAAAACAAAAAAACAAATATATTTGTGTGTATTCATGTTTATTCTACATTCATTGATTGAAAAAAAAAAGCAAAGTATAGCCGTGTTCGTGAAATGTGGATTTAGTATATCTGTTGTTGTTCTTCTTCTTTCTTTTTTTTTTCTTTTTCTTTTATGATTTCATACGGTTATTTTTATGCAATGACAATAGAAGGAGACAAAAAAAAGCATTATCGATCATATATTCTTCAGATTGATTTTCATACAAGAAAGTGAAATTTCGAATTATGTTATATTTAATTGAAGAACAAGATTTGCATTGTTTTATAACATGAGTTCATAATCTATTTTCTCATCAAGGACAAGTCGAAGAAAAAATTCTAATATATTTTATTCTTTTACATATTCAAGATGGAATTCAGACAAATACATTATATTATTAATCTGATAGGAAATAATAACAGGTTTTGTTTGTTAAATAATATCAGTAAAAACTAAAAACAATTAAATAATAGTAAGAATTTGTTTTTTCTTATTTAACTTAACAATTTTGTTATGAAATTACTGATACATATTAGCTTAATATCTTTCTGACAATGGATATTTTTCGAAATATATTCTAAAATATAGATAGAATGTTTAATGTTATTGGTGTTAGTCAATATTATCTGTTGAAATGAAATATTTTCTCGTGTACCATTTTATTAAGTCAATTTGTTTTTTTCTTTGAGTTCTATATTATACAGATCACGAATTGGGAAAGGATAAAAATATTATTGAAAAAAAAAAACCGTACTGAAATTTCAAGATTTTAAAGAGATATTAGAATGATAATCTTCACTAATGATAGAGAACAAATAATAATAAAAAGAAATTCAAATAATTATTTATTTGTTTTATTGAACCAAGAGAGTTTTCTCAAATCGATTCATAAGAATAATACATTGTATTTATTCAGCTGGCATTATAAATTGGATTGTTTTATAAAATGAAGATGTATAGTTCCTCAAATAATCTTTTTTCTCTTTTATTCATCATACAATTTTGTAAGACTTCATTAAAAAATTATCTTTAAATGTACACTAATCGTAAGAAGTTCCATTACTGGGTAAAATGTACATCAACTTTTGTTTCTTTTGTTGACTACGAGTATAACTCGGCAAGCTCTGATCGCAAGTACTAATTCAAGGTAGATCCGTCTTATTGTAACGAATTTATGACAAAAGCACTCTTTTCTTTTCGCGAGGACCTATAAAGAGTTCTTTTGATGCGTTATTATTCATTTTCTTATTAACAAATAAAGCTTTACATGTCTATATTATATCATAGATAGGATACGACAATCGAGTGTCATTGTGAAATATGAGAAAGTCTCTATTATCTCGGACACTTTTGTCACGGATCTTTTCTCTGTCGTTGGCTAAAAATTTCAAGACGAATGGATGAAACTAGCTGAAGTTATACATCTCTCTTCAACGAGTCACAGTAACTCTTATGTCGAGACTACTCAAATATTACTTCATCAATCAAGAAAAGTAAAATCGTTTGAGATGAGATTTTATTCATGATAGAGGCAGCATTAAGCTTTTGAATAAGGGATCAAAAACTATGAGATTCTTTTTCCAATACTGAAATATCGTCATTTGAAGAAAAATTCTATGTTGACATTCTAGCTCTTCCAAATGAAAGCCGACAAAATCCTTCTTGCATACAGGATTCAATTTATTTTATTTCTGATCAAAATATGATACTAAAGATCTCAAGTTTAGGTACTTTTCCACTAGTAGTGAGACTTTTTTGCGACTATAATATGCGCTGGTGAATCTGATGATCGCGTGCAGTAAGAATTTTAGAACAACTCACAAAATAAACCATTCATTCATTTGGTATTTTATATCATGAAGAGATTAGCGTTTTTGTTGTACAATATAAGGTTCTTGAGGGCAATAAAAGATTTTCATGACTGAGAAATGTGAATAATTTACTTTATATAGGTTGAATATAAAAAAATAATGATTATTAACAATAAATTCTCTAATTAATTTTTAGATTAATGTTTTTCTATTCGAGATTAATTTTCATAAATTTTATAGGAAAAAAGAATTTTTTATATTTAATAAGAAATTCAACAATTGGTATCTTAACAAAAAAAAAATATTTTATTCATGAAAGACTTATTTTTATTTTTTAGAATCTACTCGTTTCGATGAATGTACAGGTTGTGAAATACCTTGTAAAGAACATATTTCTTATCCACCTGAAATACTTAAAAGAATTGATCAAAGTAATATGAGTAATTCTGTTGAAAAACATTGTCGTCATTTATGTATTGGACAATCTATTTTACCTTCTCAATGGCCAAAAGATGTTAAAGATTTACAAGGAAATTATATAAGAGAATTAACAAAAATTTTACATGAAAATAAAGATTCTATTGGATATTCAATTAAAGTAACATCAACATCGATAATGTCAAAAAATAATTCAGAACAAATAGCTGATTGGTATTTATTTCCTGATCAAATTAAATTATATAATGTTCATATGAAACAAGTAAAAGATATTGTACAAAAATTATTCATTAATGATGAATCAATTATTAAAATAAAAGATACAACAAAAACAATTGAAGAACAACTTAAACAAAATAATCATTTGCCTATATTTTATGAAAATATTATATGTGAAAAATTACATGGCCTTTGGATACTTGTTTGTTGTCATTATCAACGTGATCAACGATGTGGTATGTTAAAATTATTTTATTCATGTAACATTCAAATTTGAAGTTTTAATGATGTGAAATTATGATGAAGTAGAGTAATCAAGTTTGTTTCAACACGTATGAGGAAAATCCTCCAACTATTCAATCGAGACTATGTGCATTATATAGATCCAAATGAGCTATGAATACCTTGAAAAGAGTTCGGACCCTTAGCTTATTTACTATAGAGACACTGCACTTACTTCGCGGTATTTTTTATATGAATGCTGTAGTAACGGAAAAACTGATTTTCGAATTTCGACTTGAAACTTTGTACAAGGATAGGTCTTGATGAGAGTAGTTTCATGTCTGTTGATTTGCTTCTATCCTGACATAAGAACATCAATTTTGCTGGTTTATATGTGTGATGTAAAAGACATGTTATTACCATAGTTCTACCTTAGGATAGGAACAGTGACAAGATCTGAAACATTCACAAAAAACTTTCCTCATTAAGATCTGTCTCTATGCAAAATTTCAAGTCGAAATTCGAAAATCAGTTTTTCTGTTGCGGTGGTATTCATTTGAAAATATCATAAAAGTGCGGTATCTCTATAGCACTAAGCTTCTAGCAGGAACTCGTTTCAGAGTATTCATAGCTCATTTGGATCTACATAATCCACATAGTCCTGACTCAAAAGCGATAGAACAAGTTGGAAGATTTCTGTCGTTAGAGTTGTAACCGATAATGTTATCAGTCGGTTCGGTAGACAATGTTTTCTTCATTTGCTTGTGTAGATTTTTTTTCTCCACAAATAATTATTTCGTACTTTAATTGATCATAGATTTATTTCTATTTTCTATAGCATACGTATATTTCGTCAAGACAAAAAAAATAATATAGCGAATATAATGTGGAAAGCAGATTATGTATATAGTTAATTAATAATGACCATGTCTGATGAACATTGAATTATTGTACAAAGCTTGTGTAGAATTTGTAATCTTATGGAATTTTCTATTCACTGATAGATGCCAAGCAAGAGATCTCATAAATAAGTACCGAGTACAACTGAACCGGAACTCTGAAATCACTAATATAGAATTTTGATTTAAAAATTATAATTTAAATAAAAATATATATCTAAAGAATTATGTTCTACGGAAATGAATGTTTTTACGTGACAAAGAAAGCCATCAACTATGTTAAACTCTATTGAAAAGTCTTCCCCTAGTTTCTATTTATATAATTTCATCAAAGTATTTTGTCAAATAGTATTTTTTTTTCATTTATTTATATTAATTAAACAATTTAAATATCTATCTATTTGTTTTTCTATTTCTAGGAGTAATCGGACCAATTTTAGTTGATGAAATAGAAAAGTACATTCGTAAGACTAATCGTACTGATAATGTTCATTGTTTAAAAATAAGTCATATCGGTAAGTTCATCAAAAAGAATTTTCTTTTATAAATAAATAATTTCTTATAAGTCTTCTTCAACAATAAGTTTTTTATTTTCTTAAAAACTACCAAAATCGAAAATTTTTTGTTTATATTTAGGTGGACATAGATTTGCTGGTAATGTCGTCATTTACCCATCGGGTACATGGTATGGTCGAGTATTGACATGTCATATTCCATTATTAATTGATGCTTATACATCATCATCAACAACAGATTTAAAAAACAAATTAAAACCTCTTCTACGCGGACATTTAGAAACAATTTGATAAATGAAACAAAACTTCCGTCATAAGCTTCTAATATTAATTATTTTTTCTGTGTATTAGATCTTTTCTAGACTAGATAATAATTTACGAAGGGATTGCCTATTTATCGTTATATATATATAAATAAATATCTGTGCAAACATTTATTAATAAACAATGTACACACCCATGCATGCTTCCTGATGAGCGATAATGATATAAACATTGTTTTCATGCGTGATAATAATAGCAAAACATTTTTTGTTTTTCTTATTGCTTGAAGAATATTGTTTTTTTTTTACTGTATTACAATAATGATCAATTATGTATTGTTAAAACAAGACAATGCTCAAGTGTGTTTTTATTTTTGGTGATGACAAATAATTTAATATAAATTAAATGTCATCAGTCAATTAAGATGAGAAATAACTGACAAGAGAATGCTCTCCATTGATGAGTTGTTCTTTTTTAACAAAAGCTATTAGTATGCGCGTCAGAATTAAAGAGAGATGAGTGTAGTCTCAATGATTTGACAATAGCAATCGAAAGATGAGAATTTCGAACATCTTTTTATCTGCTACCATCTAAGACAAAATCATTTTAAAATCTATCGTCTTCGCAAAACATTGAAAAAAAAATGCATGAAAACAGAGTTTCGTTTCAAGAAAATTTTGCTCAAAATTAACAGAATTCGGTACGTAATTTAAGTGAATAGAGATATGCAATTTCGTATGTTCAATATTAAGTAAACTAAAGATCTGAAGTGTACATATCAAAATCAAAATTGCATCGAAATAGAACATTATTTTCATGTAATCCTTTCAATATTTTGCGAAGAGGATAGATTTTAAAATAATTTTGTCTTATATAAATATTATTTTAGAGCATATCGAATTGCTTAGAAAACAGTAAATTTTTTTTACAGTTTCGAATCAGATTTTTTTTTTTTTGTAGAAAATACTGCCATATTAATTCATACAATAGATCAACATTTCGATGTAAAAATCTTTTTTTGTTTTTTACTTAAAATTCATTTTTGAAAAACAGAAAAAATGATTGATTTATACACAACTCGATATACTCTATAATCTAAGTAGATTTTAGCAAGATCTTTATTAATATGGAATATCAGTTTTCTACAAAATCAGCATAGAAAGGTCTATGGGGATTTCTTATGACCATATTGTGAATCAGCATGGCTAATAACTCGTAATTGAGTATCGTTTGGTAAAAACGCAATTGATCAGTTGACACCATTCTTTCATGAGACTTTTATAAATATATTCCATTTCTTTTTATGTCAATATTTGTGTGCCGATAATTGTGTTCAATTGACATTACCTTAATATTCTACCTTAAAGCTTTTTTCAACAACTTCTATTTGTTTTTTCTTGGTAATTTTATTTTTCCGTATAACTATTTAATCTCGCCTTGTGTTTAGTCATAAAATAACAACAATAATGAAGATGAAAAAGTGAGAGAGAAATAAGAACTTTGTCGACATGATACAAAAAAAAAATTTGCCTTTTTTTTTTCTTTTTCTCTTACTTCTCAAAATTATCTAAATAAAATAATCAAAAAAAAAAATACAATGAATCAGTATTAAAGCACAATACTGTGATTAATATTTCAACAGGAATTATAGTTCCACTGACGAGAATAATAAACGTATAAGAAAGACGTATGTGTACATATATAAAAGGATTTATTTTTATCGTTTTTATTCATTATTATTATCGCATATGTAAATAGAATTCTATACTGAAACAAGAAGCGACGAGTAATATTAATATTTAATGAGATCATAGTGAAATATCAATTAATTCAATTTTAGTTGTATTCTATTAATAGAAAATTTCCCTAAGGATCTGAAGATTTGTCTCATCTTTCTCTTTCTTTTTCAATCGTAATTTTTGTTTATTATGAAAATAATCAACAAATTTTCTCGATGTCTATATGATCCGATCCATATGTTTATTCTTAATTTAAGTGTAAGTTCGTTAATATATATACATAAGCCGGTGGTTCGTCGTTGAAAAAAGATTCAATGACAAGCAGATATTTTTATCTGAAATTGAATGCTACCAACTGCTTGTAATCATCCTCTCGTTTTTTTTCTATTCTAATGTCATGATTATTCATATCTATCCATCTTCTTATCCATATATATGTATATATATTTCTTAAGTTTATGTTTGTAGGCATGTCACAACAGGAAATAATTAATGAAAGTCATCTATGATATTTGTAATTGAGGACTTGATCTTTGCTTTATCCGGTATAGAACATAATTTATTTCAACATATCCATTTAATTTTTCTTTATTTCGTCATTAATATCACTTGACTTGCTACAAGTATTTCCCGTTTTTTTTAATTAGTTTTATAACTACTTCTACATCCTTTTCTTATTGCTCATCATGCTTAAAGATAATTAAACTGCTTCGTTCCTTCTTCTTTTTAGACTGCGTGCACTGTCATTCAGTAAACAAGTATAAATATATATATGAATTGTCAGAAAATTGAAAGTTTACACCGAACACTGCTAATACAATTATAATGATTGCTATAACTATTGTTATCTTCTATTGATTGTAATAGGTTTGAAGTAGAAGAATGTTCTAAGAAGAAGAAAAACAAGAAATAAATAATTTTCTTTTTTCTTGTTCTTTTGAAGATATAAAAAAATATATTTATACAAATTGATTCTCAAGAATAATTAAGAAAAAAATGATGATGAATCGATATGTCTATTTATATTGTTATTTATATTTATTATTACCATTAACAATTTTTTGTTTGGCTAATTTTAATTTATTTGAAGAAGAAACACGTTTAATACGTACACTTTTAAATGAATCAAAATATTTAAAAAAAGTTCGCCCATCAAAAGAAGTTATTGTTGATATTCGTTTTATTTTTAATCAAATTATATCAATGGTTGAAAAAGAACAAATTATTGTTACAAATTGTTTTGTTGATCAAAAATGGAAAGGTAAGCAAAAACAAAAAGAAATACATAATTATTTCTTTATATTTTAATCTTAACACAAAAAAAAAAATTTATAGATCCACGTCTCGTTTGGAATCCAATAAATTTTAATAATATTACTTGGATTCGAATACCAGCAACATCTGTTTGGTATGATTAAAATTGTTTTCTTTTTTTTTTTCAATTTTCAAACTTTTTATTTAGGTATCCAGATACATTTTTATACAATACAGCTGATAATGCCGGCTTTCTTCTTCCACAAGATTCACAAAATATGATTGTGAGTTATAATGGAACAGTATTTTGGCCATTACCACTTGCCCAATTACGGACACGTTGTCGAATGACAATTAAACATTTTCCTTTCGGTAATAATTCTTAAGCTATTACAATAAAACAGTATCTTAATCATATAAATCTCTTCTAAGGAAAAAGAACCTGCTTTAGTTTCATTTTAATACCGAATAGATTGGCAATTCCTTGCATGATATAAAATGGCCTTAAAAATCTATAAATAGCATAACTATATACAAATTATATCTAGTTAAAATTTTCTATAAATATATTTTTGTTTGTTGAAACATGATCTAAAAGGAGTGTCGACATGTAGAGATAGAAATTTGGACGTTTCCTCTCCAACAGGCCTGACAGATATATTAGAAACGGCTCATCACAGACATGTTCATAGAAGCATCACAGATCATGACAAGCATAACCATAGAAGCAGCATAAACTATGACAGACCCAGTTGATATACGGTCATAGATCGTCTTTAAATGTGATCTCGTTATAATATGCACAAATTATTTATTGTACTTCCGAAGGATTAAGCAAAAGGATAGTAAAGAAATATGTCACGAAAAAGACAGTGTGCAGCAATCTCCCTTTAATTAGTAACAACAGCTGCATTGTGTTTTGCATTTTAGTCCCTCAAGGATTGTGCTAATAGGTTTTTTACATAAAATTAAGTCTATTGATTTTTTTTGTTATTATTAAAAAGAAAAAAGATAATAATAATAATAATATTAAAGTTTTAATTAAGATATTTTATATACATATTAAAAAAAAGAAGAGATAATATTAATTATGATGTACACTGAAATGATTTTATTAATTTTTTCAAAAAAAAAAATAACCAACATTAATCATAAATAAATATCCAAAGTAGAGAATATACTTTTGAATTTTAATATTTCTTCTCATATTATTATTTATTATCTTAACTTAAGATGAACAAACTTGTGATATGATATTTGGTTCATGGAGTCACACAAGTTCTTTAATACATTATCAATTTTGGGAAAATAAACCTGAAATACCACAATATGTACCAAATAATGAATGGAAATTATTAGCTGTAACACAATCAATTAAAACAGTTGATTATCCAAATTGGGTTGAACCTGATACATTTTATGAAGTTAATTTTACAATTTTAATTGTACGAAAACCTTTACAAGCTATTTATAATACTGTTGTACCAGCATTAATGTTAACAACTTTAACACTTGTCTCTTTTTTTGTAAGTAAAATATTAATAATAATAATTAGCAGAAGAATTATTTATTTACTTTTTTTTTTAGATACCCTTTGCTCAAGAAATGCAAATAGGTAAGTTGAATTAACAAAAAAAAAAGAAAAGAGGAGAAAAGTTATAAATTATAAATATTATTAATAGGTATTAGTATTATGTTGGCTTATTCTGTGTTCAGTTTACGTCTATCTGAAGATGTACCATCTCAAAGTGACAGTGTACATTTAATAAGTCTTTATTTAACTGTATGTATGTTTTTTTCATTATCGGCTATGACTTGGTTTGCTATGGTAAATAAATTACGTGAAAAGAAACGTCTACCGTATTGGCTTCGATGGTTTGCACTTGATTATATATCTTGGATTGTATTTGCTAGAAATATGCATCATAAAGCAGTACGTGCTGTTAAACTAGAAGATTCAAAAATTTCTTCTGCTACACCATCGATATCAGTTGTAAATCCATTACAACAAACAACAACAACAATGAATGAAAT